ATACTACGCAGCCCATATATATATGTAGATATTCATCCAACCAAAGACTAGACTACATGTCAAGGCGCTGGACGGAAGCAATACCTTCGTCGATGAGCTCCCCGGAGAGGAGCACCATATCTTGAAGGCTTCCTGAAGCACATCTCAAGTTTAGGGTGAATTATGGTTTTGGGTCTAGGCTTACGGACCCTAGGGTCTTGAATGAAAGGCGCAACAAACCATCGCCAACTTGCATGTGGATTACCGATTGGAGCCCCGATCCACAAAACTCCTTAAAGGCGCTCCCAGCTTTAGAGCAGATATTGGGAAACTTGAAGACTAGACACTCTATCCAAAAACCTCTGCCGAACCCCTCGCGCACAGAAGTTTTAGAAACTCATGGGAGAAGCATGAACACTCGGTGTATTTCTGACAGATCTGGCAGGAGAGGCAGGATAAGGAGCTGCCACTAAAAATTTGATGGCTTGTCTTGCTTTGAGACTTGGCATCTCGGCAAAAGCTCCATGTGCCGAAAAGGCTCCGTTGATGAAGTCATCTGCCTGCTTTTCGATGAATTCCGGGCCACCAGGGCCCGCATAGTTGTTCATCAACGTCCTACAACACAGGGATTCGGAAGGCCATGCTCTCATGCAGAATGCCTCATTGCCAACACCCTTCCTAGCTAGACTCTGTTCGCAAGTTGCACCTACATTCCTGCCTAGACGAACCCAAGATGGCGGCTCGGACAACTGTCAGAAGTCTCTATCGGAGATCAGAAGATGCAGCTATGAGGGGATTCTTGAGAATGGATTCCACTGAGATGCTTCTCAGGTCTCCGACGTGACGGAATCTGGGTTTAGGAGTCGGCTATGGCATTGTTGCTTAAGGGGCTTAGGCATTTGGAGGCGACGACGACGTTGGGCGGCTCGGTTCAGCTCCCTCCCACACTACCTACAACGAAAGCTGGTTTTCAAGGAGGAGAGGGCTTGATTAGTCGACTGTGGGGCCTAGCCCATACCCGCAGCTAACATAGGAGCCTGAATACCTCGAACAAGGCCTTGGGATACAATATACTAGGAGTCTACTTCCAGCTTGTTGCAAGCCTTATTTGGAGGTACATTTTACGATAGTTGTCACAAGGACCGCTAAGGAATATTCTTGGCTATTCTAATCCTTGTGAGAAGCTCCCTTGTGCCCTTCCACCAACCTCCCCAGGCGGTCCGGCGCGAGGTGCCCTAAACCAGTCTCTCTCTCGGGATGTCCGGAAGAGGTTAGGGGCCAATCAAAGCCAAGTCTCAAGAAGCTCTGGGTCTTCTTGATCATTCCATTGATGCTGTTGCACGTCGAATCCTGGGCCATAAAACACATGAATCTCACGACCACTTCTAATCGCTCTTGTAGGTCGGGGTGCTAGTTAACAGTTCGACTAGGACCAGGATTCTTGCTATCACTGTCTCAAGACCGACTTGCTCAAGGAGGGACTTCCCAAACATCTCAACTAGGGATACCAGAAAGTCTGCAGACCTCAACCCTGCCTGTCACCCCTCCCTTGCTGTCACGAACGCTTCCCACACCTCTCAGATCTATGCACACCGTGCTCTGATGAGTTTTACTGCAGAGGCAGAGACTATCGTCATTCGTGAGCACTTTAATCTTGCCTGCTAGTGGTTTGTCGTGGCGATCGTGCTTCTTGTTCGCTGCTGTTTCCGTTGTGTCTAGTGCTGTTTCCACCATGACAACTGCTATGATTCTTAAGACCAGGTCCTTACTGCGACAAGAGACGCACTGCTTTGGTCGCTTCTCATGTTGCGGGTGCTGCTGTCGATGTTACTACTTCTCATCATGAGCATGGTTTGTCTTTAAAGAGAAGCTAACAACAAAACAAGAGTCCTGGAGTACCGCGTGTGGTTTCCACCATCTCGTCTCAGTTCATGATATTGAATTGCACGGGCTTTCATCGTCTTCCAAATAGGTCGGGAGCTGTCTGGAACATGTGTGGACGGCCCTCCAGCGGGCCTTCTTTCAGCTGAGCGATCGAAATCGATTCTGGAGTATGAAATTGTGCACTGCGTTTGACAATAAAGCCAGACAGCATGATCTCAAGTTACATGATGTTTCGTTGCATGCGTTTCTCACCCACTCTTCTGCCGAGATGCTAGAGGGTTGGAGGAGGAGCCCGAGTACTGGTAGCACTGCTCGTTGAAGTCCTGTTTGCAGGAAGAGACTGCTTCCAAGTCCAAGGCTTGAGGCTTATGGGGCCGGATGTGCTTCCAAGGACTCGATGCGGCCCTATACAAACCCTCAGAATACCCTTACAGAGACCTAGTAGATCCCTGTTATGATAATGTAGGTGGTCTCCAGCGGGCCATGGTTCTCGACTCTGACATCAGGGCTGCAGGCACTGAGTCGAACTTCACGTCCAAGCCAGCAGATTTGGGCATGTCGCTCCGAACAGACAACAAAAAGGATATGTAGCCTAAACATTGGTTATTTGTAAAGATACGACACACATACATGTTGAATTGTGCTGCGCTGTGCTGCGCTGCGCTGTGCTGTGCTGTGCTGCGATGTGCTGTGCTGTGCTGTGCTGTGCTGTGCTGTGCTGTGCTGTGCTGTGCTGTGCTACGCTGTGCTGTGCTGTGCTGTGCTGCGCTGTGCTACGCTGTGCTGCGGCTGTGCTGCACTGTGCTGCCCTGTGCGGTGCTGTGCTGCACTGTGCTGTGCTGTGCTGCGCTGTGCTGTGCTGTGCTGCGCTGTGCTGTGCTGCGCTGTGCTGTGCTGTGCTGGCTTATACTGCATTGCATTGCATGGCATGCGTTGAATTGCGTTATGTTGTGCTCTGTTGCTTTCTGTTGTGTTCTGTTGTGTTGTGTTGTGCTGTGTTGTGTTGTGCTGTGCTGTGGTGTGCTGTGTTGTGTTGCGTTGTTCTTGTGCTGCGTTATGTCGTGTTTTGCTGTGTAGTGTCGTATTGTATGCTAATGTATGGTATTGCATGCTATCTTGATATGTTGTGTTGCAATGGGTCTGTACTGTGCTTTACTGTTCTGTACCGCATTGCATTGTAATCAAAGTGGCGCAGCGCAGTGCAGGGTGTGTAGTGCGGTGCAGTGCAGTGCAGTGCAGTGCAGTGCAGTGCAGTGCAGTGCAGTGCAGTGCAGTGCAGTGCAGTGCAGTGCAGTGCAGTGCAGTGCAGTGCAGTGTAGTGTAGTGTAGTGTAGCGCAGCAGGGCGCAGCATAGCGTAGGGTAGCGCAGTGTACCGTGCTACTGTAGTGCTAGTATGTGTATTGCCTTGCATGGTATCGTGACTGTATCGTGTGTCTGCATACCTGCGGCATGCATGTATATGTGTCCATATATATATATATATGGCTGTATACAGCCTTCGTTCGCTCTTTGATGATGATGACGATGACGATGATGATGATGATGATGATGACAGTGATGGTGATGGTCATGGTGATGGTGATGATGATGGTGATGATGCTGATGATGATGATGATGGTGATGGTGATGGTATAGTGGTGATGATAATGATGCTGATGCTGATGTTGATGCTGATGCTGATGAGGAGCAGGAGGAGGAGGAGGCGGAGGGGGAGGACAGCACCAACAGCCATCCAAGTAGCACGAGCAACAACAAAAAACATCGACCCAAACAGCAACACTGCGATCATCATGATTTGGGTGAAGGACGGCGGTGCATCCAAGAAACCGAGCAAGACCTTCATTTTAAATGCCCCAGATGCCCACTACCCTCTCCTTAACGGATTGCGACACGTTCACACTCAGCTCCGCTGCGAACTTCAAGGTCTGGGGCTTGGCGGGCTGCGCACTTCCAGACGCCTGGAGGATCACGGCCGTGGACGAGTAAGGGTCAACCTAATCCTGCAGAAGTGAGCACTGAATCCATCCGAGGTCCCAGCTGCCTGGAGTGCTTGACTGGAGAGGATGACGACGACGACGACGACGACGATTATGACCATCATTGAACACTAGCGCTGTTGTCATTGCGAAGCTGACGATGCTGATACTATCCTCCTCGTCCGCCACCACCTACGAGGACGACTGCCACTACTCCTCTTATAATTGCTCCTCCTCTTGCTCCTCGCTGCTCCTACCCGCTTCTACCGCTGCTGCTACTACCTCTTCTTCTTCTTCGCAGTGGCTGTTGTTTCCTTGCTCCTCGTCTTCCGCCCCGCCTGGGCAGCCTCCGGGTCGTTGGAGCCGGAAGAGGCAGCCGGGCCACCCAGGAGAACGTTCCTGGCCACGGACTCTCTGACAGTTCCTGGTGGCCCTTGTGGCAGTGGAAGATGGGAGAGTTGTGATGGGCAGCCGAGGTTGGTATCTGTGAATCTGCGGGCAGAAGTAGCCCAGATGTTTTTTGAGTTTCGTTGAAAGCAAGTACGACTTCGCGATTCTTTCACGTCAAGAGGACAACAGAAGCTGGGCCAAAGCGACGGCTGCTGTAAAGCTGTACCGATGGCCGAAACCTCGAACCAAACCGCTGCAAGCTGAGTCTCACGGCACGCAAGACAAGCACGCTGGAGCCCCGAGGCCTTAAAACTTTACCCAACATCTAAACACGAAGCATCCCAACCCTACCCTGCTACCGACAACCAGATCACTGCAGACAATGACGGAAGGATCCCACGCCTCAGCGTTTGCGCGGCTTGGGTGTGATAGCCTTGACTGCACCGCTCGAAGACGTCTCCCATGCTCCGCACACGCACACACCAAAACCCAACCCGCTTGCTGCCTTTGCTCTTGACTGTCAGTAGCACAAACAGAGAGGACGAATCTGGAAAGCCTATTCTCATTATCAAAAGATGGCCAATTATGCCAATCGCCATGGGGGAGCCAGAGAACAAAAGTCGCACCAACGGATCGGCGGGCCCTGTAACAAACCTAATGATCTATGTCATGACACCGACGTCACAAAAGATGTGAAATCATCTAATGTTGCAGCTCTCGCATGCGTCACGAGGCTGACATTTGGGATGCTGCCCTGTGCAGCCGAGGGGCCGTTGGCTTCCGGGGAGCCAAGGCCGTTTGCTGTCGAGTACTTCACTTCCCGTGCCTTCACCTCACGGCGGTTTGGGCTCAGGATCCGGGCTTGGCCCTGGCAGGACTCAGGTTTTGGCCTCTCAGTGATGTTAGTTACCAACTCCACCCTGGCAGAGCTGTGCCCACAGGAGAACAGTATAGGCAGAGGTTATGCCAAAGCAGGTGTGCGATACTGCATGTGAACGCCCTTCTGCCATTGCCTACGGTCGTTGGGACCTGAGGAAATCCCGGAGGCCTTAACCGGTAGACTGGATTGGATTGCATTGGAATGGGTTGCATACTTTTATTGGTTTAGCATATACTATAGCATACTAGAATATACTATAAAATACTGTAATACTTCTCAGCTCTGCCTCCTCGTCGTAGGCCTCTGCAAAAGTCTGGCCGTTGCTGGGCTTCACCTTCGCTAGCTTCAGTAGCGCCGCCTCCACGGAGCTGCGGGGTCCAAAAACGACAAGTGACGGTCAGAAGAACGAAATCAAGAGATGGCAACCCCTAAACCCTAAAGCCCTAAACCCTAAACCCCAAATAAGAAGGGCAGCAAGCAAATTCGTACCTTCGAGTAGGCTTGACGATGCGAAAGATACAACTCTGTGCCCGATTGCCCGAGGGTGGCGCGAATTGCAATCGTAGTCATGAACGATGGAGGTCTCGAACAAGTCGCACTGGCCCTAAAGCAGTGCAAGGGCACAAGCTGCGCACCAGCCAAAGCCAAACTTCGAGCATCCTGGCTCCCTTCAACCCTTGCTTCATGAGGCGAAACATGCAAGCCGTTCCAAAACACTGGAGGCTTCCCTCTTCAGTGAAACCTTCCATAACACCTTCACTCCGGCAGCCTTGCCCCAGTCGGACATCTCAATCCAGGAGACTACCTGAATCAGATGACTTTAGGTTGGGTTGAGGGTCCGGGGGTCGTTCTACGGTCCAGGTTGGAATCAACATGTACAAGCCCCTACTGCATGCACAATCCACCATTCCACGAGTCTCATAGCTGGGGTGTCGGGTTCAAGCCGTTCGGCGAAGCTTCACAGCTTTGGCAGGGGTGGAGGGCATTGACCTTCTTCCAATCAGTCTCGATGGATTGGGGCTTCAAGGGGCGTTGGGCTTCCCACCTGGCTCACAGTTTCATCTGCGATGGTGATATCGAAGCCCTCTCCCGCGAAGAAGGCAGGGTCAGCAATCAGGTCCACCTGAGGATTTGTTTCGGGTTTAGGGTGTCGGGTTTATGGCCTCGGGCGTAGGGGCTTAAGGTTGGTTTTTGCAGGCAAAACTCTGCTGAAAAAGCAACCTGGCGCCATCAAACCCCCGGTGGAACGCAACCGTGCAAGACATTGGCACCTTGCTCCTCTTGGGAGCCTTGGAAGCAGGGCAAGCCACACCGCCTATACCCTTGCATCAGCCAAATCCCCCAAACCCTAAACCCTGGATCCTATGCTTCCATGGCACTGCAGCAATGACCTGCCAGGATCCGACTCGGGCGTTCGGCCCGGGCTTTAGAGTTCTCATGTTTTTGCTCTTGCGAATTTCAGCCTTTTTCCGACTGCAGGGTTCATGTTTAGGCTTCGGGGTTTGGGGGGGATAAGGTCGAGGGCTTTTACGCTTGGGGCGTGGGGTTTGAAGTTTATGTTGCTATGGTTGGGATTTAGTCAAAAGGCTGGTATGTTTGAGGCGTGGGTTTTTAAGTTCATGTTCGGGCTTTAGGGTCTACGCTAGGGCTTATGCTTGGGCTTTAGCATTTAAGGTTCATGTCTGTTCCTGTTTCGCAGTTGGCTCAGGCTTGAACAGGTCTCGATTTTCGACGAACCCAATAGAGCACAGTCCACAGCCGAATGTGCGTGATGTCAGTGTAAGAAAACGGAACGAAATGCGTGTCAAAACTACACTCCTCCGCAATCTTCGTGGCATGCAGAACTTAAGCATACTGGGCTACATGGGTGAAAGCCTGGCCGGGAATTGTTTGTTGTGGCAGAGAGGTGTATTGGGTCTGGCCGCGGCTCAAAAGTTAGATGCATCCAGCTTGAAGCGAAAGTGGTTGAAGCTCCGGCGTAATCAAGCATCCCGGCCTGAGTCGGGTTTTCGTGCAAGGTGTAGTTGATGATAAGAGATCCCACATCGATGGGCGACATGTTGTTGGAATCCGTGTTGGCTTTGTACAACTCATAGAAAACATCGGCGGTGAACTCCTGCGCGGTACTTGCACGGAAACTTCTCAATACTGGATTGAAAGCATGTAGCACCATGCTGTTCGAGCTTGGCGTGGCTCAACTTGCGGGCCGAAGCTCACAGGCTCGAACGAGCCTTCCTAGCCTTCGGCGCGCCTATATACCACGAAACAAAGGTTTTGACATCGGGTGGATCGACAAATGGAGCAGGAAAGGCTTGGCCGTCCCAACCTGTCGGCCACTTTCCCTGGGCGTGTTTCAGAAAGGCGACACTGGCCTTGCCAAAGCCTTCCAAAGACGTAAAGCGTCGCCTAGAGGTTCTTGACAAGGTTGGTAAGATATTTTCCCGACCGGAGGAAGCTACTGGGCAGGAGTGCACTATTCCTTTCCATCGCCTCCAGCTAGTACTGACCCCATCACGTCTGATTTGCCTGCAGCTGCTGTTCATAGTGCCAACGCTAGTTGCGGTGGATCAGACCTGTGAAGGCTCGTGGCTGGCTACATATTGAAGTCTGGCACACTACATGACTACCAGGGGTGGCAAACAGGCAGAAGTCCCCGTCCGCTGAGCAAAGTCAGCTCTGTGATCAGTTTTTCTAGCCCTTAACTCCTGATAAAGAGAATCACAACCTTGTTCACAGCAAGCGTCCATTTGCAACCATAGTATAAGAACAACAAACACGTGAAGACCCTATACCAGCGCCATGGTACTACTTACTACCCACGATAAAACGGCATAGCGTTCAAAACAATACTTTTGAGTACAACACTCCAGAACTCTCAGGTCCAGCGGGAGTTCGCCGCTGACGAGACGGCTCGTCACCCAACCAACCTTCCAGACAAGTTTGAACAGGGTGCTGGGAGTACTCGAGGTTTAGGGTTTCACGGTTTGGGATTTGCTGCTTTAGGGTGTAGGGTTGAGCCTGGTTTGGGCTGCAGCAGCGGCTGACATGTTGCCGCTAGCGAGGCAGACACTCATCCAAGAAAGGGTGGGAATCCGAAAACACGAGAGTTATGGTGCTGCTGCTGTGTGCCAGAGTAGCGCTGCCTTCGTGAGGTTCTTGCTGGCCACAAGGGTCAAATAATCCACCACTGCAGTTGCCACCTGCAACTGACTCGAAATGTTATGGTCTGGGGATACGGACTCAGATATGGAAGCCGTCTGGATCTTTGTGTCCCGACCATGGACACGCCAAACCCCCGCTCCCATGAACAGCATCAAATTGGGCATGCTGTCCCAGACTCCCACATTCTCCGACCTCCGCACGCAGCTTCACCACTTTCAGCTCGGAGCCGACGGAAGCAAGCCTCCGCTGTTAGATTGGAGCCAGGGTATGAAGGAGCCCCTAGCCATTTTCGACAGCATCTGTCCTGCAGGAAGAGCCCTTCCGCTATAATGTCTTTACACGTGCCTTCTTTCTGCACAGTTAAGGAGCCGTGGCAGTCCGTCTGCAAAATGGTGGTGCTTACCCGAAACAGTCTGTGCACAGAAACACGATCCCAAACGAAGGTCTCGTAACTTGGCCCCATTCCCCAAAACCGTAACCCTAAACCCCTACACCCTAAACCCCTAAACCCCTAAAGCGAAACTCATTGCAGACTGCAGTGGCCGGTTCGAGTAAGTACGGAGGATCGTCGTCATCAAGCCTTTCCACCAAGCTTGCAAGCAAGGTTGACCCTAAACCCAACAGTTCCCGAAACCAAAAACCCAAGGGAGTAGCCTTTCTCCTCTAGGCTAGCAGTCCCAATTTGTAGTTACGATGACCGCCACAAGTACGGTAAGTAGTGTTAATAGCAGCGATGGCTGCAGCTACTAGGTTGTAACCCCTTGTTAGCCTCCGTAGAATCAGCCGTAACTATCTCAAGGGTCGTCTTAGACCCAGTTTGGAAAACAGGGTGAGGCAGGCCCTTGAGAAGGCGGTGCAAAGCCAACCAGCAACAGAACTTGGTGCGACCTTTCAATTCCATAGTGACACTAGGATTCACTACTCAAACTCAAACAAAAACACATACTTGCTCCACGATGTTCACATTAGTTCGAATTTTATGCACACAGAAACAAACAAGCCATCTATGTCTGGACAACTTGAGCTGACACAGTCCTCCTGGAACTCACCAAACATGTCGACTTGAACAGCCCCTGAACTTCAGGTCCTTTGCCCGACCCGCACCTGGAAGGGAGGGATCCGTCACAAGGCCCTCATACCTGCCGTGGGGCTTCGGGAAGTTCAAGGGTTCAGGAGTCCCCCACCTCCGGTCATGAGCTTCGGCCTTCAACATCGTCTTGAAAAGATGCATTCGCGCGGTGATTTGAGGTGGTTGATGCAGGATCCCACCCCACCCTTCGAGACCTGCTGTTTCGAGGAGCGAAACCGTTGAGTTGAACAAGGAAACTGCACATATAAGGTCCTCGAACCCGAAACCCTGGATCCCACATCGTCTGCTTGGAAGGCTTGGTGGTGGCATGAAGGAGTGTTACCTGACAAATCCAGATCATTACCCGAACTCCGAAAGTTTCCCGCGCATCGGATGGAAGTTGCCAGGGGCCCCTATTTCAAGGCAGAGCCAGAGGGCGGCACTCGTGGATGTCGATGCCACCCTTGTTGTCAGTGTTGTACTTCTTCATGAGCATAACAGCCTTCAGGCTGCGACTCAAGACCAGGGTCTCTCTAACAAGGTAGCATAACTCATAACACAAAATTCCTCACGCGGATAAAGGTACGAACCCAGTGACTCGGAAGCCTCAAGTATGCCACGACTCCGCAACTCTGAAACCCCTCAACCGCCAAACAGCAAAGCGCGCGAAACCCTAAGCATCAAACCCCCCCAAACCCTGAAGAAGCCCTAGGCCCCTCAAACTCTGAAAGAGGAGCTTCTCGAAAGCTGACAAAGCATTCTCTAGAGGTTTCAGGTCGAGGTCGAAGCACTAGGATGTCTCGAGGAGCTTCTAAGACTGAGGGATCGATCTAGGGTTTTAGGGGTTTAGGGCCGTTTAGGGTTTAGAGTGTCGGGGTTTAGGGTGCGGGGTGTAGGGGTTTAGGGGGGTTTAGGGCTTAGGGTTTAGGGTTCAGGGCTTAGATCAGGCAACTTCGCCTTGGATCGGGGTTGGGGCTTTGGGCTAGGGGTTGACGTTGTGCTGACACTGGCTTTGCGCTACCAATCATCAGAAGGGGCTCTATACCCCCCGATTTCAGCGCTTCTGTCAATGCTTTGTGAATTGGGAAAGGATGGTCGAGAAGCTCATAGAGCCCTTTCCAGCGAGACTTCGGCTGAAAGCCACCTAGGCCTACATCGCCTACCAAGGCTCCCAGACTCCCGGAAATTTTGCATATTCCCAAAACAAGGCTTTTGCCTTCTGCCCTTGGAGGGACGTGATGCCATACTGATTGGCTGCCTGGACATGCCATTGAATACAGAATCGGGCACAGGTGATAAAGTGCCGGGGATGATTCGTCGGTACCGTTTCGGGTCAAGTAGCCCCCGAGGAATGGTTAACTGTGCGGAAGTCTGAAACACTTTGCCCGGGTTGAGAGCTGAGATGCTTCCTCCCAACCTCATGAGCCTCTTCTGTCACCCTGATAACATGGCACCTCGTCGGTATTACCTTTGTCGGAATTCAGGGCTGCCTTACTGTATCCAGGTACGACAGCATTGGACATCCCGAAGCTGGGGAAAGCCTGTCTTATGAAGAAACCTGGGGTCTCCGTCGCTTCCACACCGGCCTAAGCTGCGCAACACCAAAGACCTGCGAGTCGAAATTTGACGAAGAACCGCTGCTACCGGTCTGAGCTTATCGAGGTGATGCCTGCTGCAGCTCCTTGACATCGATGCCTGCATCCACAGCTCAGCTTTGGTGGAAGCACGGGTGCCGTGGATGTGCAAGGAATGTCCGTCTCAGATCGTTGATTTACAGCAACGGCCGGTCTGGCCGTCATCGTAGGGGTCGAAGATATGGTAAGTGTCGAACACCATCTCCTGTGACCGCGAGCATTCGGCTGAAGGGTTCTACCATTCAATTTTGCAGCTGAATAGTCATTCCTACCAAATCCTCAACAGCCTGTTCGGAAATGTCTATTTTGCATCGTGATGTCCTTAACCAAAGACCCCCGGCTTCAGTCGGAATTCCGCTGCACCGGATAAACTCCTTGTACATTCCGCCAGTCGAAGCCATCTGCTGCATGACCTAACAGAAACTGGTCCAGTGACACAACACAGGGGCAAGGGCTTGGAAGCTTCCTGCCAGGACAATTGCTCTGCTTGCTGGAATGTGAACTAAGTACATGTCTGCAATTTAACCAGGCTTGCACAACAGGGAGTATTGTAAGGGTCAGCACATAGACCTGTACTGTACTATCGTCGTCGAGGCCTGAAAAAAAACCAGCAAACGTGGTTTGCAAAACACCTCGGGCACATGGGGATGTCACAGTCGTGCCACAAGGATTTATCGGGCATTGAACACAAGGTATGTGAGGGCTTGTAGTGCGAATGGTAGCGGCGAGCACTCTGCATCTGTGTCAGTGACAGAAGATAGAACTATCTTGACGTTGCATTGTAAACACACGTACCACAGGTTCTAGGCAAATGCGAGTGAATGCATGCAATACGGGAGCGAAGCCATGAAACATTCGCAGTCCAACGTACAAGTCTATGTGATTATACACGGTACATGATGATGTTGACAGATGTGTCGGCAAACGGGACTTGTGGTATCAAGGGTTGTTGAAAAGAGGCTGTGAGTGGGATTGTTGGGCTGCTTCACGAAAACACGCACATGGCAACACAAGCGGCACTCGAAACTGCGTCTAAGGTGGCTCCGGGGAGGTTGCGTATACATTTAGATGTATGTGCACACACCTGCACATCTGCCCATCTGCCGATCTGGATTGAACACGCACGTCCTCTGTCAGCAGATACAACGAAAGATGCATTGTATCTGCGCTGATATCCTGCAGCGTGCGGGCGGTGCTATCTCAACATGAGAGGCTAACTTCTCATGCAAAGCACGAGCAACCAGGAAAACCAAACAAGATTGGCAAGTTCTCGCTAAAATGAGAACTTCCCCCAGCATCTTGAACACTTACACATGTGCAAGAAGGGAGAAGCGAGACCGGTCCGAAGCTTCCGGCGAAGCCAATCTTGAAAGGATACTTAGAATTAGAATCATTACTATTACTCATACTAATGCGAATCACAGCAATCGTATACTCGTTGAGTTATCAGTGAAAAGAAGAAAATGCGTGAACATCCTCGAGCTCTAGAGTCGGATGTGGGACACAAAGGGTGCGCCTGATCGAACAGCTTCTGGGCACGGTCCTCAGTGGAGAACAAGGAAGACGACGACGACGGAGGCAAGGCCAGCATCAGTAGTGGTTTCGGGTTTAGGGTTCGGGATTTAAGAATGCGGATGTGGAGAATGTTGATGATGAGGACAGCGATGGTGGTGATGGCGACGTGACGGTGACAATGCGTGACGGTGATGGAGAAGGTGGCGGTGTCGGTGATTGGACAGGGTGATGGCGATGACGATGCCGGCGAGAATTATGACGAGGAATTCCGAAAACACTCAAACTTAATACCTTGCAGTTTCCACAAAGGGTACTCGCAAAGCAACATCAGCAGTACTTACTCAGCTACTGCAGCTTCAGCAAGCTCTACTTCTGGCAGAAACAGGCCAGAACAAGAAGAAGACAGGTGTTCAACTAGATAGTTTAGTGGTAAATTGAAACCTGTGGGAGGGAATGTACATACTCCTAGAATACACGACAATATGCTATGATATACGTTAACACACACACACACACACTCCAACATGCTGTTACACACTATATAACATATTGTAGCATGAAGAAACCTACGAAGCAGACGAAATTGGGGTGCAATTTACTGCAAAATCCTATAGTTTATAATAATGTACCATAACATATATTAACACACTATGATATCTTAATAAAGCATTATCTGGCTATGATCTACCATATGCTATACTATACTCTACACAGCAATCTATACTAGAAGGTATAGTCGAATAGTCTTTTGCTACCGGGAAGTCAATACTAGAAGATATAATGTACTGCAGCTGGGGCACAGCGACAGTTCCGAACTCTTCCAGCGTGTCCTGGATCTTTGCACTGAAGGAACCCAACCTGGGCCGAAGATGAAGGGAACATCTTAATCCATGTAGAGGCCGTAAGAAATTAGAACAAGATGCCGGGATATACCGCAGTATACGCATAACAAGCAGCCCCGAAATCCATAGCATTACTAACTTATTCCTACCCGTGCATTTGGCTTGGCGAGGTCGTGATTCAAGAGCAAAGAAAGACCCACTCTTCGACGAATGCAACTGCTGAGTTTCGGGACTTCGAATGTATGCTTATAGCCAGTATGTTCTCCGTCGACCCACCTGGCCGGCGCCCAGAAGTTGTGTTTCAAGCGCTGTTCGTCCCTTTCCAGTACACAAACTGCGCCTTTAGTTCAAGCCCGAGGCTTGCCCAAACCTCCTTTTGGCTTCCGACCCCCCAACGCCCAGTGGAACCCATCAAATTCCCTCAGCATACGAAGGGTAGTTTATTAGTCCCTTAAATCCAGCCCAAGGCATGCCCAACCCCAACCCCAATCTGCCCCGCTGTTCGTCCCTTTCCAGTGGACAAAGTGGGCCCGCTGGACTCTTGTACCGACCCCCTAGCACCAGTGGAACTCTCTTGCCCCCACGACCCCCCGGCGCCCAGTGGACTTATTCAAAGTAGTAATTTAGTCATTTAATTCAGGCCCAATGCATGAACTCCAGTGGAGTTCTACCAAATAGTATTTATCATGTAATTCAAGCCTGAGGCATGCCCAAGTTCTCTTGCCCCCTCGACCCCTCAGCGCCCAATGGACCTCTTCAAGGCAGCAATGTAGACCTCCCCCTTGTCCCCCTCGACCCCCCCGCGCCCAGTGGAACCCTTCGACGTCGTAATTGAGTCCTTTAATTCAAGCCCAAGGCATGGACCTTGCCAATTTGGTAACTTACTCAGAGGCCCAACCATTTCTCCTCTCCCGACCCCCCAGCGGCCTGTGGACGTCTGCAAAATATTATTTTCTTCTTTTACTGCCCATTCCTTCTTGCTTTTCCCCGACCCCCCCCCCCCGACGCCCCAGCGCCTAGTGGATTTCTTCAAGATAGTAATTTCATCATTTAATCAAGCCTGAGGCATGCCCAATTTCTCTTGCCGCCTCCGAACCCCCCAGCGCCCAGTGGACCTATTCTAAATATTCTGCTCCAAAAAAGTTCGAAAAGCTACCAAAATAAGCATATTATGTAGTCCACTGGAAACTCGATAACAACGCAGAGACACCGCGACCACAAACTCGAAGAAAAGACACGGTGCGCACCAGGATTGCCTTATCGGCGCCTATTTTTGCGTTGTTGCTGGTGCCTTTTTGTCGCCTCTCGTTTTCGTTGCAAAAAACATGGCATCCCGGCCCCTCCGGATTGCCTTCTGCTTGCTTTCATGGCCAATTTTGCTTTGCGTTTGAAACACGCTTGTCCGAGGTGAGAACCAAAGCCTTCTTGTTGTCTGTTTTGCACTTTTCTGGTTGCCTTTGTGGCGTCTTTGTTTAGCCGCTTGGCCTCTCCTCCTCGGAAGCGCCAGAATCCTGCTGCACCTCTCAAAAATGCGAAAACAAGTCAACAAAAACCCGCGCAGTTGCGTTGCTTTATGCCTTTGCTTCTTGGACTGCCCTGGTGGTTGCGATGACGGCGCCTTTTGAATTGGCTTGCTTTCAAGTCTGTGGAATTCGGCAAATAAACTACAAGCCAGGTACGGACTATTTAAAGCTAGCTACACGACCCCAAATCATGAGATCCGTGCTTATACGCCAAAGCTCAAGACATCCATCTTCCTCCCGAGAGATCAGATCGTCTTCACCCTAGCCGCCCTTAAGAATGCCGCTCTCTAAACCCTAAACCCCAAAGCCATGCTCTGAACCCTAAATCCTATACACAGAAACCTTGAAGCTTTGAATGCCTTAAACCGTACCCTGCAGCCCAAGCCAGAACTTCCGATTGTGCCAGGTCCCAGGCCATTCGCCCACTTGGCTCAGCGCAGGTCTGGGTTCACAGCAATTCAGAGAAGCTCTCAGACAAGGGCGCTGTGACACCAGTCTGAGCCCCAGAAGCTGAACCCAAGACCAAAACCCATAGTGTTTAGGGTTCAGGGTTCAGGGTTTAGGGTCATACAAGTAGATGTGGGCACTCTATGCGGTATGTATGCATGCATGCATGTACGTATGTATAAAGCTCCGTACGTGCTTTGGAATGCTTGGAGCATGTTTCCATGTCATGTACCGAAAGCGCGCCAAAGCGAGAGAGAGGGAGAGAAAGAGAGAGAGAGAGAGAGAGAGAGAGAGAGAGGGAGACAGGAAAAAAGATGGAGCCAAGGAGACTGATATGTATGTGTGTATATATATATATATGTACATGCATCCATGCATACATACATACACAGATACAGGTTCAGATACAGATACCGATAGAGATACATGGTGATATATATATATATATCATCATCACACATACATTTACTTATTTTCAGATTTCTGCGTGTACATACACATATGTATAGGTACATGTATTACATGCAGATATCTGCTACAAGCCTACCTTCACCGTCGAAGTTTTTGTTCACTAGAGGAATGTCGAGTCTGAACTGTTGCACTCAACCAGAACCCTTTTCCAGAAAAGCCACACTCGAAGGAACTCAGATTCCTGAAACCCTGATCCCCTGTCAAACTTAGAGCCTCAGACACCCTAAGCCGTGGCCCTAAACCCTAAACCCTAAATTTACATCACAAGAGGCCTCAGCTCGTTCAAGACATCATGCACCAGGGGTTTCACCTCAGCTCATCTGCAAGGTTCGGGGCATCGGGGGTCCATGGGGCGATGGGTCTCAGGATGTGGGGCTTCTGGTCGGTCCGCTTCCCAGCCACGACGATCGCATGCTGCAGAAAACCCTGCAATACAACAAGGCATGGAAAACCATAGCATTTCCACAACATTGCACCAAACCATCTATGACATAGTCAGTAGTAGAACATGTTACCAACACATCATATGCCAGACCACATACGGCACGCGCGCGCGACCTGAAACCCACCGCCCGAATGGCCCAGGGAGTCTGAACCCCAAGATGTCTCCTCGTG